TTCATCTTGTACAGTGTGCCATGCGATTTACACGCACGAGCGTGTCGACGGATTTTATTTGTTACCGCGCGCGCGGCAGACGTGAATTTCTCGCCGCGGATTGGATGGCGTTGCGCGCCACGGTCGGTCTTCCACTTATGCCTCCACGCACGGTGATTATCGGCCCCGACTCTGTTCCCCGACGCGACGTGGACCTTTGACCCCTGGCGTCCCCCCGACGTCTGCCGACGATCTCTGTTTTTCCTGTGCCGGACGTGGCCCGACCCGTTCTCGGATTTTCGTCCGCGAGAGCAACGAGCAGCGGACGCGTTGATTTACGCGCAGATTTTACGGCCTCTTTGCGTTTTTTCGCTTCTCCTACCTTATTGAAAAAGAAAGGAAGATAGATGAAGCTGTAAGTATAAGTGTGTGTAGGGGGAGGGGGAGGGATAGGTATGTGTCCTTCAACATTGCACAGATTCAAGTATAGTTTCGAATCGACTTTTTAACACAGATCTTGATTCTTGCAAAAATCCTCTCTTTTTTCATGTCTGAAGTTTTCCCCCTGTCGTACAATATTTATTAATGCAAACTTGACTTATATTAATAAAAAAGCAACGTCACGTGTAACATACAATCTGTCTACACAGATGTATCGTTGTGTTCGCGTTGACTCGTCATTAAGAGAGAAGTGGTCTAATTGTTTCGGAAATTTCAAGTTAGCGCTATTAAGAACTTTTCCCTTCGGATAGCCGCGAAACTTTTCCGGACTAATGTATTTGCCCACTCTTTGAGAAGCCCACGCCATAATCCTCTGGCCGTGCCGTTTCCGTGCGCATTTATCCACGGCACTTTGCGATTCGCCAAAAGACACGTCGCACTCGTGCCCGCTTTTCAACCGTTTTTCAACCGCGAAAGTTCGCTCCTCTCGAGTTCACGGTAATTACCTGGATTCGGGAGCGAAACGTCGGCGCACATAAACAGATTTATCGGCCAACAGCGCCGAGGACACGCTCGTCCATTTCTCGTCGACTCGGAATGTCCTCCGCGATCTTGTTAGTCGCCTATTTCCGCGGATTAGTGTCCCTCGTTCTACGCTGCGGAACTCTGAACTGATGACGTCAGAGGCGAGAAGACGCATGCCCAATATTTTTGCGTAGCATTTCCAAATAAAAAGATACTTGTATGAAAAAACACTTTTGATCGCATAAATATACTTGTAAAATGTTCTGAAAACTATTCTTTTTCCTTGTCAGTATAAAAATAACTAAAATTAACGTGACATGCAACCTTCTTTTTTAATCTATTTTTCTTCATGATTTTGCAATGTTCATTTTACGAATATTTATTGGCTATCAAGAGAAAAAGATAGTTTTCGGAATATTTTACAAGTATGCTCAAGCGATCTGAAATGTTCTTTCATGCAAATATCTTTTTATTTGGAAATGATACGCAAGAATTTTCGGCGTGTCATTTCTCGCTTCTGACGTCATAATCCAACATGGCCGCGGCGAGTACCCAGGAGCCTTAGAACAGCGTTTGTATAAAACGGATGGAACCATGAGGAGAGATGCACGACGGAATGACAAAGGAGCGCGGAGAGAGTGAGAACAGACAGCCAATGCCGACCGAACGTCGATACCGAGGTTATAAGCACCGTGACTAAAAATTTATCTCATAGTTTTAGTAAGGTTGATCCCGATCAGTTATCAGGTTCTAATTATTCTAAGTCTCTAATCTCCCCAACTAGAAATTTATCCTATGGCCCTGGTAAGAGGTTAATCTCAATCAGAATATTATTAGATTTGTATGAGATAATGTCATCGGGTTCTACTAAGTCATGTAACGCAGCGTAAATAATTAGGATTCTTATTAAGGATTCGTTATCAGATGCTGTCAGATTGTCGTAAAATCTTCGTTACTCTTACATAGAGAAAATTATTTTATTGTAGGAAATAACAACTTGATCATTTTGTTTAATAATTTTAAAAAATCTGACATTTCTCAATATTAATGTGTTGTCATTTCGTCGTCTTCTCTGCAATTCCCCTGTCCAAATATTATACCCTTTAACGTCCCCGTTAACGGTCACCTACCTCTTTACTGATTTCACAAGTTGCTTGACTTCACGATTGAAGAGGAATTAATGATACTAATGAATTCTAACGACATACTCATAACTTATGCTTCTTTATTACTTAGCGGGTTCTAATTTTTGGGAGAACATTAGAATGAAAAAATAAAATATTATTATAGATCACATCTATTACATGTAAGATTAGTCGCAAATTGTCCCTATCGAATCCTGATAAGTCCTAATAAAGAAAATGAGTAAAACCTCGTAAAAGGTCTGATTAATGTAATCTTGTAAGATGACACTAAGTTAATACATTAGGATCTCTTAATATGAATCTATTGATGGATCATATAGATATATGAATATATGGGTCTGTCACAACCTTATAAGAGTCTTTGAATTCTCACTCTTATCAGATACATCATACTTAGGATTATCTTATATTTATCCATTTTAAGTCTTACATAATATCAGCTATATCTGATAAAAATATCTAGTCGGGTTCAATCGGAAATTCTTTATCTATCCTGTAACTGTATACTGAGAAAAAATGCTTGAAAATTTATTTGTAGGATATAAAGTTTATGTTTATGAAATAAACTTACGTATGTGCGCGACATGTCAATATGAGTATTTCACTCTTATGACGAACTGATAACGAAAAAGTTACAACGCCAGTCGTGCTTCTTTAGATGGACAGGATTGCTTGGGGAATTTGAAGATGATCTTTCACAATGGTGGATATTTATAGAGATTGGAAGAAATTAGAGAGCACATACGCAATCTGATCTATTCACGCGATCGCGAAATCCGTACATTTCATATCATTATGTAATGACCTGGCCTTCGCGAATAATTACAGAACGCCATGAAAATTTTAAGGCTTCCGCGAACAATCCCCGGCACGTTTGACTGGGTTTCTAGTTCATAGACTGGTATTAATACCTTAATGACGTTGTCCATGATGAAAGCGAAGAAATTGAGGAGTATGAGTTTACGCTGCGCGTTTTACTACGAAGTTCATAATTTAAATTATTTTATTATACATACATGTATACGCGCGCACACACACATATACGTACATAACTTTAGGCCCGTTACAGCTACGCTTTCAAAATTTATTTCTTGTCCGAGTTTTCGGATCCGATGTAAGACGAACCGCAACAATCTCGGATAATAAATGTTTCCCTTGACGTGAGGATCTTTTTTTGGCTTATAAGAGGGAACCACCTCGAGCTCCTCTCGCGGATGAACCGGTTTCGACGCTACGCTGAAATTAATCTCCCTCCTTCCTTCATACGATGTAGTCACGATATACGAGTGATAAGCACGATATCGATATGTTTTATTTGGCGAAGTGGCAGCGAGACTGCGGATTCTCCATTGAATTAATAAGGGAATTCGATTGAGCCCCCCACGGCTGATATCTAGAATACGGTCGGCCATGTTTCGATGCGCGTCTATCGATCACTATGTATGCACCGATAACCATTGTATAAATTATGCCTATGGCGATCGAGGCCGGCCTCACAATAGCAGCGGGACCGAGAGCGAGGGGTCGGAAGTGGCCCGTTGCGGACTCGAAAATCCATCTTCGTGAATTCGACAGCAGAATCGAGCGATGACACGGCTTCCGGTGTTATCGACCGTCGACGTTTTCGACCCCCGTAATTTGCTCGTTACCGCTCACGTATTAATCTCCCTCTCCCACTCTATCTTTCTCTCCTTACGTACGAACGCGACGTATACTACGCGGCGCCTCGCCTCGTCTCGCCCTTTTCGTTTTGCGTGCCGGAATAATTCTGAGCAGCCTCGTGGATCGTAATAAAGGCAACCTGTGCCCAGCAAATTTGCTTGGACGCGATGTAACTCTCGCGAGCGACTCGCTTCGTGCATATTCGCGTTCGTTTAACAAGATCGATGGGCGTCCGTCTGTATAACGCGAGTCCTAATCGGAAAGTAAAGTCGACAAATTACTGTAATCGGGGTGCGAAAGAGAGAGGGAATAAGGAAGAGAGAAAAAGGTAGGAGAGAAAGAAGGAGAAAGAAAGCCAAAAATTGGTTGTTATTTGATAAATAATTTGACAAATTTGTACTAAACAGTAGCAATGTAGTGCTAAGCACGGCGCTAAATAGTTACGTACGCAACGTTGTGAAAGCCAACACGCACTATTTTATCATAGTTTCTGTCAATTAGCAAGCCACCCGAACGTTAATAACGAATATCGGAGATGTCTCCGGCAAATAATTACGTTTCCAATGGAAATATGTGACCACGATCGTCATCGTCAACGGCGATAAAACTGCACGCGGAGGCACGGCCAAAAAGCTCGGCTCGCGTTTGCGAACTATATCGATCGACTCGGCATGATGCATCAGTGTAATAGTCGCTTTGCCAAGCTCGTTCCCTCGGCCCGCACGGAACTTTATGAAATCCTTGCACGAAGATTAATTAACGGGGGGAGAGAGAGAGAGAGAGAGAGAGAGTAACGTGCTGGCGCACACGCTCATGTGATTAAAGGCAACACCTTTTTGACACTCTTTTTAATCTGATGTATCTATATTTTTCTCCGTGCGTCGCGTCGCTTTTTCGTTTCTTAATTTTGCGCCGTGCCGTAGATCACTTTCAGACCACGGCTCTGATCGCGGGAATTCATGGCTCCGCGATAAGTTACACGGATATGTTTTGCTGAATCGAAATATCGTTTATAAAAATGAGATAGATTTAACTGTACAAATTCATGCGGAGTACTTGTGTCTCGAAGAGAACAAAATTCAGTTTACACGTACCATGTATCTTCTCTTGAGTCCAAAGAGATCCGAAGTGCGAAGTTCGTAATCGAGCGATTGGTCTGAAAGTGCGAAGCGAGATAATTGCAAACGCTTCTTTCCAACGCTAGCATAAAATAGTCTGTCCCAATATATGCTCCCTCCTTTATTGCAGACGATACTGAACTCGATGCACAAGTATCAGCCGAGGTTTCACCTCGTGCGAGCCAACGACATCCTGAAGCTTCCGTACTCGACGTTCAGGAGTTACGTTTTCAAAGAGACGGAATTCATCGCCGTGACGGCCTATCAGAACGAAAAGGTAAGCGATCTTTTGGCTTCTCTGATACACGAGCAGGATTTTTCATGGCTTATTAACTTCATTCATTTGAGAGCAATCTCTCAGGAAATTGAAAGCAACAGATTTTAAGGGGCGGAGAGAGAGAGAGAGAGAGAGAGAGGCGCATCAGAAGGTTTTCGTAGAAAATGACTCATTCCGTCTTGTAAAAATTATCGGTGTAGGAGTAGGAAACGGAAGCGCTTCGTATCTTCTTCAAATGTTCGATACTGTTATCAGGGAGAATAGCGAAACTCGCGCACGCGGAGCCAAGCATGCATTCGTAAAGAACGATCTCGTGTTACTATCTCCACGAGTGGCACGCGTTTCTGGCTTTCTGTTAATTAATATCTTTCATCGTCTCTGCGCCCCGTTCAAGCCACTACGGACGTAAGGACCGTTTCGTGGAATAACGAGTCTTCTCAGTATGCATTATTTTCAATGGTGAATGAGTTACTCACACGCACAACATGTGGGTCGTAAGAAGAGACGGTGCCTTGTACAGATTTTTGGTAGGTCGCTACGCAGAGCTATATATTTCTATCTTAATTATCGCGCCTTCCTGGTATATCAGGCCAGTGAAGAGGTAAGATGTTATTAGTTAGAGCGTCTCGTCCGCGAATTCACTGTTTGATTTAATTACTGAGAATTCTTTTCTGAATTCACAAGCGTTTCTTTCCTTGAATCCAAATTCAAAGATATTTATTTTCTGCGCAGATCACTCAACTGAAGATCGATAACAACCCCTTCGCGAAAGGATTTCGGGACACTGGCGCGGGGAAGCGCGAGAAAAAGTGAGTATCGCTTTCAAAACTGCATTCTGAGCGCTATGTACCTTCAATTCTTTCCTAACATTGAGAAAGATAGAAAAGTAGGTCTATGCCAGATGCAAAACTTGGTCGTTATATATTTGCTCTAACCCACTATTTTACCGAATTCACTTGCAAAAAATGTGTACCGTATAAAGTATCAGGAAAGAATTGAAAGAAAACGGATCAAAGTGGACTAAGTGCCTCTCATCGCGTATCCGCGCCGAGAGAAAAAAATTGCACGAATAAATGATCTGCATCAATACAGAGCGGATTAAAAACTACCCTCGATGCAAAACAGGGATGCCCTCCTCTCTCTTTGCGGCGCTCTTCGTGAAGAGCAAAGAGCGAATCTGTCTTCGGGGTCGACCTAATTGATCGTAGACCTTTCGAGCTTCCCCTCGATCGGCGCTATTATGCCGACCTTAGGGTCACCCCCGGAGCCCTAAGGGTTGGTTTCACAGGGCTCATTTGCACTCCGCATCGCCGGCAGTACCGTCCATTTGTATTCAATATTGCGGGTTTATAAGCTTATGTCAGCGAGAGCTTCCTCGAGGGGGATGCTGGCCCGTTGTTGCCACGGACCGGGCTGCTATGGAAACCTATTTCGATCTCATTGATTGCGGAGGTTAAAATTCAAGTGGATTGTCATGAAATTAAGTTGCATGGCAATTTAAACTGTTACTAATTTATGTTGCGCTATTACTGATAAAATTACGATTTTCGCGCGGATATATAGAAAGAAAAATATTATTCTATTACTAAGAAGAACGAGTTTACTCTTTTTAAGTATAAAATATGGTTATCTCCAAGAAACAATATTATTTATTAAATAATACTTAATTTTAATAAATTTGATAAAATTTAAGAAATGTTAAAAGTTATAATAAATAAAAAATAAATACATAATTAAACAATATTTTGTTTATAATAGCTTTAAAATATGTTTATTACAAATATCAGAAAATTATCATGTACTCTTATTATACACTGTAAAAACTGTTGTGTTAAATTTAACACATTTCATGTGTCCCAAATCATCCACTCTCATTTATGTGTAAATTTAACATATCAGTTTTTACAGTGTAAGAATATTATAAAACTTTTGAATATTATAAAACTTTGTCGAAAAAAAAGTTAGTTCGATTTCTATGTAGTAAGTAAACTAAATTTTTATTTTAATTTAATATGAAATAAACTACATACTATATTTGCATTTAAAATATATTTGGATAAATTTGAAGCTTATGGTATATTTATGATAGATCTACGGATATATAAACTTATGAAAATCTTAAAACAACATCTTGTTATTTTCTTTATTTTGATATAATACATAGAAAATGTTTTCAATATGTTTCAACAAAGTAATTTTTCGGTATTATACTGAAAAGAAAAAAGAAAGAATAGTACTTATCACATACATAAAAAACTATATATAAAACAAATCAAGTACAAAACATTCTTTGTATTTGTACATCAACAAAGATCTATATTTGTTATCAATATATAATTCACAATTTGAGAAAGTATTTTAATATTGAATGAGTTGGTTTAATGGTTTGGATATGTTATGAATTTAACAACGAAATTTCGCGGGTACCGCGTGTTCGAGAAAAATATATAGTAAGATAAAATAATATTTACGTATGTGCGTGTGTCAATAGGAACTAACTCACTCGCTGTATGGTATCATTGTGGACAAAACTACACTTCATAAATTTATTATCGATTGCGTGAGCCAAATTCGCCATATCGTGCCAATACGTCTTACAATAAGCGCATTACAAAGGAAAATAAGATTATGTAAGCCGTGGGTCAGAAAATTTTCTGAAAATTGCGGCAGTCTGCGACGTCGAGCGGATAAAGAAAGGGCGAGGTTAATCGAGAAAATATGCAAAACAGGGGGCGCGTCGCGGCACCGCCTAATTAGAATAAGGGTTAGTTTTGGCTTATGGTTTCGGTTAAGGGTGGTTGGATGCCATCAGGAAGCCACAGGCTAGAACTAACTAGAAAGAGAGAGCACGACCGGCAGCACCGAGAGCGCCGGGAGCGAGACAAAGATGAGGAGACATCGTGAGAGAGAATGTGTGTGTGTGTGTGTGTGTGTGTGTGTGTGTGTGTGTGTGTGTGTGTGTGTGAGAGAGAGAGAGAGAGAGAGAGAGAGAGAGAGAGAGAGA